ATTTGATCCAATATAACTTTATGTTTAAAAATTAATTTCCAAATAAAAATTTAGATAATTTCTTCCCAAAAACTCTTCTATAAGAAGTAAAAGCAAAATTATAAGTCATGCCAAACAAGCCCTTAATCAAGAACCATATGATCATTACATCATGCTTGAAAAATGCAGGTACACAAATGGAATCCAAAGGATCATCAGAAAGGATTAATCCATTTGTACATATGAAAGTTTCACAGAAGATTGTTAGAATACTCTCGTAATATATGGCCCACCGTGAAAAAAGCAAATTGCCAAAAAATTTCCCTCCCACCCCCCTATGCGTGTCTTCTGGCATGCACAAGCTTCTGTGAAGGAGCCTATTGTACATCTCTTCACATTCCAGAACATACGAACTCAGAGGTAGAGTATTTGACTCTCCAATATACTGAAGGGCCAGATGATCAGAACGAGTCAGCAATAATGGGAGCTTCCACCAATGATTCAAAAATAAATAGACAAATTTGTTTTTAGACGGTGGAGGAATTTTGTAAGATGTTCTAATTTAAAGAACAAAAACAAGATTCCACGATCCACTGTCAAAAGCGAACTGCCGGACAATGACTGAAACAGGTACACGGAGGATTCTCAAATATTTACAAAATTGATTTTTCCTTCATAAGATTTTGTTCTACAAATTATTTATCAAACAACATAGAGCAGAGAAAAAAAATCAACGAACAAACAAAGCTACGGATTCTTCTACTTGGATGACACCAAAGAATATTTACAGCAGTCCCTTACCGCTCCTTCCACCTATCACAACTTTTTGGGGTAAAGCGTAAACCAAATCTACCAACATCCTAAAACAAACCTCCAGAACTTGTTCTCTTCGGTTGACACAGCAATAAAAAACCACTCTCAAAACTGGCAAGAGGTCCCAAGCCTCTGCCTCTGCCTATGGCCAAGGGTCACAGACTTGCGCTTCTCAAATGCAGGGTAAAGCAGCTCTTGGAATTTCTCCAGAAACAGTGCCCATTCTTCCTCGTTCATGTCTGCTAGCTTCACAAAGCTCACACTCGCAGGAAGCTGCTCATTTGCACTCCTGTGGCCTGATGATGAACCAGCAAGATAGCCATGATCAGGCTTTGCTCCTGAAAATTTTGTGAACTTTTGGCTCTCACCTAAGCTAGTATTTTTGAGTGATGTGGATAGGTTCGAAATGGTAGTGATCCTTTCAATGATTGGGACACCAACGAATTCCTTTTCCTTTTCCTCATCTTCTCTTTCATTTTCCTCTTCCTCGTCCTCTTCAATGCTTTCCTCTAGTTTATAAAGGGCAGTACGGCCACTAATGCCTCCAAATCCAAAAGGGAAGGGCGTTCCTGCCATGAAGTCCTCAGAGACCATTCTAGGGGTAAAATCGGACCTGCCATCTTCATAATCTATGTCAAATTGAAACTCCTCGACATCAGCACGAGCCTCGGGCGACATGTCCTCTGCAACCAGCCTTTTTGCTTCAATGCATACAACCTCGAGCTCACTAGGTTCCTCATCACCCCTGCGAAACTCACGACTCATCATCTCACCTATCTCAGCAAGACATAGCCCATTAACAGCAGCAGCTTTGAGGAAAATTGTGCATAAGACCAGTACTCGCAGACAAGCATCTCGAATCATGGGGAGTTCACTTCGCAGCATCTCTGAATCTGTAATAGGATCAAGATTTTCTATATACTCAAGCTCGTCATCTGAAAATGGGATTGAAGCTTGAGGCCAATGGATCCATTCAAAATATGGGTCTTCCAAACATTCTGGCAAGCAGAGGCCATGATCAATAGGGATAAGTTCCACTTGACCAAACCTGCCAAAACCGTCGAGCTTCCTTACTAAAAGGTTGCCTGCATGCCTATCTGTGTTAAGAATCCTAATGTCTAGTATCCCAATGCGATGCACAGCAGCAACTGGGAAACTTGAGGTTCCATGGTCACTGGCATCAAAATCGTGTGGAATGAACTGTTGAAAAGAAGCAATCTTGCTAACAAGATTCTTGTTTTGAGGCTTGTTTCCATTCACACCATCATTTACATTGAAGATTGAGTGAGTGATATTCACCAATGCAGTAGGTGGTACATTTGCAAAATGATCATAGTCAAGCAGATATGCAGCCACCTCTCTGAACCCCGTTTCACCAACACGCACAGAACGCTTTAAGCCAGGTTGCCCAAGAGCTTTACCAACAAAACCTTTCGGATTGTTTGGTGCAAACGGTTCTTCATCTGTTGGCTTCACAATGGCAACATTCTCACCTCTTTTGTTTCGGAAATAATATGCTCCTCCAAGCCCACTATGAACAGGGAGAGGATCAACTCCATTATTTATCCCCTTAACAATTTCCTTAACAAGTTGTTTCATCTTGGCATAACATATTGACTTCCCCAATATCTCTATTGGGCCACTTTGATCTCTCTGTTGGATGTCCCTCGCAGTAGGAGAGAGACAGGGAGTTGACGAGCTTCTATGCATAAGGTTGCGAGTTAGAAGAAGGTGAGAATCATTTCGAATGGCACTGAGGTCATTCTTCAACACCATATCACCAAATGTCAAAGAACTCTCCTCAGTTGGAAAATTCAGTGCAAGCTGCAATCTCCGCTTCACAGTATGTGCATTGTCACTCCGCTCCAACTCCATCCCCAAAACGCAACCTGTCTCTGTTTGAACAAAAACTCGTCTCCTTCCTGCTAGCTTCCCTTCCATCCTGTTGGTTCCACTGTACTCCCCATTAGCAAGTGGGCTTTTGAACACTGACACAGCCATCTGGGTCTGAACTGGGCTATCCAATTTAGGGGACATGGACGATAGAGAAAGATCAACAACGGTGGTTCTCACAATTGGTAATAGAGATGGCAACAGAAGAGAGCTTCTCTGTCTCTCTCAAATGAATGCCAAACTCAGATTCCGATTGTGATTGAACCAGATAATTATCCAATCCAACAGTGATCATCAATCAGCAAGCCAAGATCCAAACCACTGCCAGCCAAACAATGCCAAAATACAGAACAAGGCACAGAACTGACTTAGAGAGAGACTCCAAGTCTGTGAGCACTACATCAAGAGGGCCATCAGTTGATTCAGACAAATAACGGGTATTGATACTTAAGAAATTAGAAAAAATAAAATAGAATCATAAATTCTAATAAAACTACTCTAATCAACTCGAAATTTTAAGAAAACTCAACATTACAAACTAAAACCAACAAAATTCAATGACTCCATATTTTCTGTTACAAGAACAAGAATCACTGAGACAAATACCAAACACATGCATGCACCGCCGAGTTTTGTGAATACAAATCATGCTTTCATCAAGAACTACAAAAATCTAACCATCCATTTACCTTTATCTTGCTACTAAAGAAATCTAAGCAAACAAATATTTTTACAATATGAAGCTCAGGCAAGCGAGATCAACTACACACCATTCAACATTAATTTCACAATCAATGCCGAGCTATAATTTCTTTAAAAATGCATCAGCTTATACACTTAATTTATCCGTATTTAGTAAACTAATTAAACAACATTACTGTCATTTATTACACTCGTTTTTCTCCAATACTTGTCATAAAAATGAAGAACATAATCCTATAATAGTTCTTCAAACAAAAATAATTTCTTCCTCTTCAAGAAAAAAAAGTGTAATCCAATTAAATGATTCAAGAGCCAATCCGAAGCGCTGATTCAAACAATAATCACAAAAATAAATACAAATTCGAAATATTAACTTACCAGACGGCCAGATCTGAAGGATTATTGCTCCGTTTCCCTGTTTCCCAACAATATGTAGACCTTCCAACAAAAAAAGATCAGAAAATGCGGAATCAAAGCTGTCGGGACAACAGACAACACACGGTTCAATAGCTAGGATTTAATCCAAGATTTTCTCTCAAGAAATCCCCCTATGGTCCAAGCCAACCGACCCTCTTCTTCCTTGCTCTACACTCTCTCACTCTTAATCCTCTCTCTACATCCACAACCGGATATATGTATGTATATATAAAATCTTTAGTTTTTCTTTTTCTTTAATTTCTTGGTCTTCTTAGAATGTTCCTTTATAACTCTCTACAGTGACCAATTGGACGCGTGAAGTGCGGTTACTCTAAAGAGACCCGGGTTACATATTGACATTCGTGGAAGGGTCTGGAATCCGAAATCAGAGCCGTTGATGTGAAGTGGTAGGATGTGCCGACGTGGAGAGAAGTGATTGGTTATTGACGTGGCATGCCTAGCGAATACCGGGGTGTTCACAGTTCTCTGACCATTACCATAGATCGATTTTGACTGCGACTGGTAGATTTAATGGACTTAAATACCCTTCTCTATAAAGAAATTGCATAAAAGGACAAAAACCAACCTTTCACCCTTTCACTATTCCACTTGACCTAATTAGGTGGTTTAATTTTCATCACATAATAGGATACTTACAAATTAATTAATTTATTTTTTTCCATTTTATGTTAAAATTTTAAATTAACTATTTCATTTGATCAATTCGACTAGAAATATAATGGAGCTCGAGTCGATGCAAATGCTAATAAAGAATTGGATAATTTGGATTTTTTCTTTTTAAATATGTAGAAAAATTATTAGTTCATGTGATAATATAGTGATTGTGGGTTCTGTGTTGGGATGAATTTTACTGTGCCAAGCTCTAAACGAGAGTTTTCAATGTTTATGTCAAATATAAAAAGAGTGGACACCAATAACGTTGCAACGAGACATGCATGATGAGCAAAGGGTTGGATTTTCTCAAGAGAGGCAAAAAGGGATTTCTTTGGTCAAGGTCAAGTCCAATTTTGGACATGAAATTTTTTGTCAATATTTGAATTGGAGATGAGTTATTGTCACGCTTGTTTAATCTTATCATCTAAATGTCTTAATCTGCAAGAACATAGTGGACTTCCCCAAATAGGGTCACAAAGTGGTAAATTAGTCATTTAATAGCTCGTAGTCAAGACAGACTGGATCGTGTTAAATTTTATATTTGATTGTATAATTATTTTCTAAAACTTAATATACATGGAAAGTATCAATAAGTACTTTTTAATTAATATTAGAGGGTCATATCACCAACCACTCATGTCAATCGTAGTAGAAATTCAATATTTTATTTTATTTTGTGATTGAGGGAACATGATCTATGCAACTTGTTTAAAAAGATGAAGCTATTTCTTGATTGATGTGGTGGCAATTTGATTGTGACACATTTTATTAATCTGCATAATTAAGTTGAGCTTTTGGATGCTTTTTCTATTTGTGATTGAAGATCTCCATAAAATTTTCACTAATTTTAACTATAAAATATATTCTATCATATATTTTTTGTAATTTTGTTATGAAATTTTAGTTCCATATACTTGAATTAGTAATGGTTACAATGACACTAAGAGAGTGTTTCGTGAGAATTGAAATTAGATTTTTTAATAGATTGTGATAAAAAAAAAAATTTTTGAAATGTGTGAATGAATGGTTATGAAACCCATGAAAAATTTGATTAATACTGATTATATGACTTTAATTTAGATTAAAATAAAGTTTTAATCCAAACCAAACAAACTCTAAAAAAACCCTACACTTTGCATTTCTAAGCCTCAATCTAACTCAAGCAAACAACAAACTCAATGTTGGAAACACTTCATAAATTTCATTGTTGATTTCTGAAATGCAAAGGAAGACAAATAAAAATCAGACTAACATTAAAATTTCAAGAAACTGAAATGTAAGTTTACTTCCATTTTCAATTTATTTTCAAGATAAATATTTTAATTTCAAATCATTTTTATACAAAAATTTATGAACACCAATTGCCATAGATATCTGCACGAATCCCACAATACTATAAATCTTAGGAATAATAACATTATGAGCCTAAGTAACTAGTGGCATTTTCAATGGATTCTTTAAGCAAAAATTCTCTATATTTTAAATAGTCAACTTTTACGATTATGGTCCAAAAAACTTTCAAATTAATATTTTAAATACTGGGCTGGTCTTGAGAATTTTGAAGCCCTAGACGATTCATTATTATGAGGCCCTTAAACATAAAAAAAATTCTACATGCATAAAAATAATTAAATTTTTAAATAAATCATATATTTACATTTTAAACAAAAACCTAGCACGATTCAAAAGATAAAGTAGCAAATTCAAGTTATTTTCGATATATCATATTATGGACATTATGGACCTGTGAAAAAATTATTTTGGATAAATCAAATTCAAATCATAACTTATTAAAGTAAACTATTGAATGTGTAATATTGCTTTTCAAATTAAATCATACTACCATAATAATATTAGACTCATTTGATAGCTTGTAATTAATAATGTATATTAAACTCAAGAAAAAATTATTTTAAATAAGATCGAACTAAGTTAGAATCGACCAAATAAATTATTGTTAAATAAATTTTTAATTAATCCATCTTTTAAATTTATACTAATTTAATTGGACTTTTGCCATGGTTTTCATTTGGAGGCCCCCTTAGGTGTGAGGCCCTAAGCCATTGCTTAATTGGCCTTGGTTGAAGGCCGGCCTTGTTAAAATAGAAAGTGTGTTTGACTCTATAAATTTAAAAAGCTTAATGTATTTAAAATAATTCAAGTTTCAATGGAGAAAAATAATGCAATTAGCTGGCGGGAATCTAATCAAAAAACAAATCATATGACTTTTGAAAAAGACATATACCAATTAGTAGGTCCATTTACATTTTTTCTTAGGTGAAGGATTTTGATGTAATTTAGGTGAAGAGTTTAATCAAAAAATGTTGACTAAAAAGAACATATTTGACTCTCATTCTTGACTTTCTTGGCCTAAAGATGGGTTTGATATATTATAATCAAATGAAACATTTTGCCAACATTAATCTAATCAAGAGAATTGAATACTTCAAATTAAACTTTTTGCCAATATTAATCCAATCGAGAGAATTAAATACTATATAAATTTAATCCCAATATTGGATGGTTGATTATGTATACTACACTGCTCAAAACCATACTCCGTGTCACCTTGAGAAACTATGATAGATCATACAAGTTATTTTTTTTTTATCACTATATTCATTGAAACATAAAAAGGATCAAATCCCATTCTTGAGTCGATTTTGTTATGATTTGGTTTCATCACTACATGTCAAATGTGGTTCCGTGTAAAATCCCCATTGATATTTTGTTTGGTTTAATTCTTGTTAAATAGAACTAGTAGCACCTTATCCACTCCTGCATTTTATCCGCCTAAGTTCTAACACTATATTTATCCAAACACTAGATTTCTTCAATAATATATAATTATCAGCATTGAAAAATTCGTCAATAACAACATTTTTGGATCACAATTTGGACATACTACAAATTTTAAAATGAAAACCAATTATAAATTCTATTCTATTCACATGATGATGAATCCTCACATCGCCTCTCTTTAATTATTTTATTTTACATGTTAATATTATCTTTGTTCTAACCGCCTCCCAATTGTGTCGTATTATAAAATATAGAGCTGTGTTATTCGTACAGACTCATTTGCACAGGGTCTGTACAGATGCACACACATTCACTTTTTAAATTTTTTTTCTTTAACTTATATATTAATGAAATCAAGATAAATTTACAGCCATGCTTGCCACAATTTTATTTAAAATAAATAGTTATATTAATTTTTACATAACATACAACATTAGAAACATCTAATTTGACCATCAATGTAAAAAAAGGAATACGACATATTTATAAAATAATACATTATAAAAAAAATCCTTGAGTGTCATATATATCGTATATGCTACATATATTACATGCAATTAAGTTCATTTGACAAGTCTACAATTGTTTTTTATTTACTCACATAAATTTTTATTTTATTAAAGGTTCATAAAAATGAATAGCGTAGTATGTTATGTAATATATGTTAGATTTTTTTTTTTTTAACGATCAAAAAAAATATATATGTTAGATTTTCAAAAAAATAAACTTTGGAAAAAAAAAAATAAAAGAAGAAGAAGAAGAAGCAGACTCTTTAATAATTTTAAGTCTTTGACATTAAACTAACTCATAAAACCACCTTTTGCAAACATTTGCGGAACGAGGACTCAAATCTAGTTAGATCTAATTTAACTACGATTTTTTGTTGGGAGCAGAAGTTTCAATAACACACGTTGATTTCAAATCGAATTTTAAAGAACTAGATTATATGACAATATTGAAGTATACTAGATCACACATCGAAAAACAAGGTTTAGAAGTAAAGAAAAAAAGGATTAATGGCAAAGAACGATGTTTATTAATTCATCAATATGGAAAATACAAAACAATTTAATAATTGGCTTCTATCTGTTACACTACCTAAACTAACAAAGGAGCCTAATATTTATACTACACGGCCAGACCCTAAGTAGAGTTCCAAAAGGCAAGAAATTAGGTTACAATTAGGAATTTGATCTCCTTTCCAACTCTAGACAAATTATGTTTCTTCAATCTCCTAATTTGAGTCACATTCCTAACATTTTTTCTCAAAAAAATGAAAAATCATATAAAACAAAATTCACAAAATTCAGTTGGGCCCCCAACTCCGTCCACCACTGTTTGCCGGCAAATTATAATTTATACTTTACTAGATTATGGCTTAAGTTTTTATAAAAGATTATCCAAATTATTATGCTCTGCTTGGCAGTCGTTATTGTAATAAATCAAAAACCACATCTTAATTTGTCTACCATTAAAGACCAAGTATTATAATCATTTTGTTAATGCCACGAATATCCTCAATCGTACATCTTTATTTCTATATGCCTTGGGAAACGACAGTTATGATTGAGGAAATTAGACACAGTATTCTAAAACAAAGAAGAATTATTTAATACATTTAAACCAAATTAAAGTTTTAATAACCGTATTATTTAAAAAAAAAAAAAATTGCTACGGAATTTTATGCTACGTTGTCCATTTTGAGCAATTCAAAATCTACTAGAAAACTTGCAATGTGGCCATGATAAATATGTTATGGACGAAGTCTATATCTCAAAAATTATCTCGCATGAAATATAGAACGCAAAATAAAACCATAATTATTAAGTTCATTTCTTGCGGCTAT